ACAGATGCATTGTCCTTTGTTTGTGACACCACTGGGTACACTGCTGACACTTGATTGAATTGTTACCTACACCAGCTTTACAAACTGAACAGGGCCATTGTCCAGTAGTTGTGGATTAGATGGGTTCACCAGTGTTCATTGCTTTGGTTTTGCTGATGTTGACATTGAATCCATGATCGGCGAGTCTGGTGTTCCAATCTTCAAACATCTGTGCTGCATCCTGCTTAGACGTGGCTGTTAAAACGATATCATCAGCATATATTAGATTCCAAATGTCACTAGTGCCTATCACAGTTATAATTAACAGTGGACTGAGAATCGAGCCTTGGTGAACTGCAAATGCATCTGTGTTTCCAACCGTTGTGCTGACGAGAGTCTTAGTATTCGTATACATTTCCATAACAAGTCGAACAAGATATTCTGAAATGAGTTGTCGACGTAGAATTCATTTGATTGCCTCATGGAGACTCGATCGAATGCTTTTTCATGGTCTACAAAAATGTGTGATCGTTGTTCCCCGCTAGAAAACCAAATTGATAATTTCCGATTGTGATGCACGACGTTAATCTTCTCTCAATAATTTTCTCGACTATTTTCATGTAGTGTTCTAACAGACGTATACACCGATATGATGAACAGTTCAATGGATCACCTTTGCTTTTGTATAGCGGAGCTCTCATGCTATTGTTCCATTCAGTCGGCATTGAGCAATTACTCCACACTTCACGGCAAAGTTGTAGTAACGTTTGGATACCTGCAGTACCAGATGCTTTGATAATGTCGTTTGTGAGTCCAGTTGCTTTTCCATCCGTCATAGCTTTCAGAGCTTCTGTAAGCTCCTCTACAGTGATGTCTGGAATCGGACCTTCGATGAGTGGAGCGTCAAATTTAACATTGGTGAGATTTTTTTCATTTGACAAAACTTCCAACACCATTTTTGGCATCTTTTGACCATTTCAGAATAGTTTATATTTTTCATTGTCTGAGTTGATATGACACACACCATTCGATTTCCATCGGGTCTCCTAAAGGCAGCAGATGTCAATCCTTCCACGCTCAAGCATTTCAGCAATTTCAATGCATTGGCCAGTCAGTTATCCAACATTGAGCGTTTCAAGTCTAAGTACCATAGAGGGGTCATTCTGAATTTTCTTGCCTGTTGTTTTTGTTTTTGATGGCACAGAATAATTTGGGGAAAGTTTTTACATCCGGACACCCATCCTGACGACAACCACCAGTTATAAGCGGTGGGCCTAGCCTTTTGCTTAAAAGCACGCAAAGCAGAGTGGATGCAGTTTTATGTCATACCCAGGACAAACCAACTGCTGCTGAAAACATATAAAAACGACAAAAATGATTTGGCAAAAACATTTTTGAAAGGGAGAGACTAGCCTAAGTAATTCTAATGTTTAGAAGCTTATTACTAAAAAAATTATAATAAAGTATAAAAACCTCCAAATAAATCGGATACTATTCTTGAAACGTTATTACTTTTGTGTTTTCATTTGGGAACTAACTGATAAATATGCCCTAAACATAAAATTTGATAGGATTCATTTTTCTTTGATTTTTTTAAATTTAAATCTGAAATAAAATCTGAAATAAAACAAAAATAACATAGTAATATATTATAAGAACCACATGCTGTCGAACATGATGAAAAAATAAAAAAAAAAAACATAAAAAATAACGTTTAAGCAACAAACAAAAACGATAGTATTAAACTACGAATATAGTATATCTCCAAGCAGAGAACGTCATCTCTCGTGATGAAAAACAATTGGATGATGACGGATCATAGCGTTCAAATGTAATTTCAAAGTCTAAATAATAAAATTTCTAAGCCGATAATTCATACATATGAGGACCCACAACTAATTCAAGAACAAGGGCTTAGCTGCAGTATGCCGACGACACGGTCATCATAGCAAATAGCAGGGATAGTGTTCAAAAATTAATTAACCTGAACTAAGCCTGGTGCAATGCAACCGTATGAGGGTTAACAAATGCTTGGGTAAAATGTTGCAACGAAACCGTATGAGGGTTAACAAATGCTTGGGTAAAATTTATGATTTGGAAGGAAAAACACAATGGCTAAAAAGCTTCTTACCTGTAAACTCCAACGCGTGCTATAGGTTATCAACGAGCTGGACGACACAACGCCACAAAGGAAATTGCAAAATATTACGAAAGTATATCCTACCCCAGAGTTTGCGTTCGATCTTCGCATACGCTTGTATAGGAAGCAACCTAGGTCTATTGATTGTTTAATTCGTAAGAAAATGACTATCTCTGCAAATTAGTAGCTGAGTGTTAGTGCTTATTTAAATCTTAAATCAGGAGGATTGAATTTAAGATCATTAAAAAACTACACGGAAACGTTAAGTCAAAAACTACCTCAAAACGCACATCAATAAAAAAATGAGATGTTTACACAATGAATCTTACAACAGTTTCATCAAAATAGACAACATCCTTTCCGGTTCAATCGAGCAGGTCAACAAGAATCCGATAGTTGAAGCAATTAAAAAGCATATTCCAGACATTTACATTATTTAATAAGCAAAATTTCACAGCTGGCTTTATTAGTAGTTTCTTTGTGGGTAGCAAAGTAACTGCATTCTGTCGTATATTTATTATAGGTTTCTCTTTGTTTCTCATCGTTTGAAATGCGTTTCTGTTGCGAAACAGTCTCTTTTGTTATTGTTTATTTTTCCAGTAATTGCGATTAAATGATTTTTTATAGCACCTCTTGTTGTTCGTACAGTTACTATATTTTCAGGTTTACTCCGTCATCATTATTTTTAGGCTTCACGTTTTTAAAATAATTTTCTTTAGAAGTGATTCTTCAGTTTTATATGCAGATAACATATAGTTTCAGTAGTAGAAAATTATATTCTCGCCTCGTTTGTCGTTGTTATTATTTCTCATCGTTTGAAATGCGTTTCTGTTGCGATACAGTCTCTTTTGTTTGATTGATTGAAGTAGTTTGCGGTTGATGGTATTTTGGATGACAACTGTTTTGTAGTTGTTGACTACAACTTTGGTGATTTTAATTAGTTCTGTAAGTTGATTTCATAGTGTTACAATTAATTGGCTTTTATTGTGCTGCGTTTATATTTTTTCGTGCACTCACTTATTCCATTTAGACATATACCTTTGTTTCGTTCTTTCACATGGAACGTTGTTTTGAAGCAGTTGTCATTTCGTGTGATTAGTGCATCCAAAAATTTTATTTTAGATTTATCAGAGTAGAAAGAAGATTTATAATTTGGTCTGGATTGTCGCGTGCGACAAATTTAGAGTAAGAGTGACGTATCTTGCATAAATTTTGGGTTTTAGTTAAGGATTTTTGAGGAAGATTTGCGATTTGACGCCGACGATTCCCGTTGAAAACAATCCACAACAGCTCAAGTTGCCGCAACGATACGAAAATCGTTCAACACTTCAATAAATCCAACCTGTCAATACTCAGCTTATGATCACTCGTCGAAAATTCTTCTTCGTCATGTCCACTCATTCATCATTCTAATATTTCATTCTCATTTATTTTATTCTTATTTCATACATATTTTAAATAACAACGTACATTCGTATTGCTACATTTTACCCGCTTGCATATCATCATAAAACGTACTTTCATTTACACTAGTACCATCCGATCACTACACAGTTGTTTTTATTTCCAATGTATAATATTGATAATGATATCAACACTTACTAGTTTTAATTCAATGTTTAATTTAATTTTATTTCAATATTTAATTCATCCTAATTTATTCGTTCTATTTTACTAACTTTGTTTTATTTATTTTGAAATTAACGTTTAATTGCTTTTTATTAGTACTACACTCTTACTCTAAATTTGTATTACCATACGTATTTTATTCAAATCTCGTTTAATTATTTTACTTTGATATTTTCTTAATTTTACTGATTTTAAATATTTTTTATAAATTCTCATTTCATATTTCGTAATTTCAAATTGTGGGCTTTGATGATGACAATTCAAGTCGAAACAACGTTGTCAGCTGCACTGTGGCAGCAAATCCCAATAAACACGATTTGCAACAGTTTTTTATTATTACTATTAACATACACAATTGTTATCTCAAAATGGTTAAAACAATTAATGAGAAAAAAACGTTTCATTGATTGAAGAGATTGGTCTTTAACAGTTTTTTGAAATTTTTGCAATAGACAAATTTCTTGAACCAATCTTTAAACGTGATGTTGGATGGTCACCAAGTTTTTATCGTCACGACGTAGGTTGTATGGTTTTGCAAAAGTCGATTTGAAGGTCATCCATCAGTTAAATACTTTGGAGCAAGTCCAATTATGACCATAAACATCAGAAGCGACATTTCGAACGTAACTCTTTTATCAACCTTCAACCAATGTAGTTCTTGAAATATGGAGTCACATGGTCGTATTTTGCAGCTCCCATAACAAGCCTGGCAACACGGTTTTGAACGAGCAGATATCATCTTGTCAGATAGACCAAAAAGCAAACTATTGCTTTTTCTATTGCAGTAATCCAACCTTGCATGTACAAATGCATGCATCAAACTTTGGACTATATCTCTTTGAAGCGATGTTTTAACTATTTTTTATAAATTTTTTTTATAAATTTTACGTGATGATGCATTGTTTTCTGTGGGTCTAGAATGCAGCCTAAATTGACAGCCTTGGAAGAAAATTCAATCTCCTGATCATTAATGATGGCTGAATCGATTTTAACTTTTGAGAGCTGTTTGCCATGCCCCAAATGCTAATATTGCTTTTTACATTGATTCAACTTTGAACGGTTGCAAGACATCCAATCATCTATTTTCGTCAGACATTTAATGAATTTGTTCAGCAGAATTGGGAATTAACTAGGTCCTACCTCGGGAAACCGGGTCTCTGGACGCAAAACGAAGATTGATTGATTGATATGATAGTCACGCTTATGCTGAAACCAAATTGAATCAATTAATTGAAGAACATCTGCGTGTATAAAACAAATAATACTGATTTTTGTGGCACACCGGTAACGACTGGTTATTAATTTGACAAATTGTTATTAAACAGCACTTGTTGAGTTCGATCCGTAAAGTAAGATTGAAACCAGAGTTTTGCTGTTCCTGATATACCAAATTGTGACAACTCGTCTTTAACCGCAGCATTCAAATCATTGTCTTCCTCAATTCCTGCTTCAATTCTGACATGGTTATTTGACGACATTAGCCAGCATTTTTACATTTGAAAGCACTTTCAAACAGCAGTTGCAGAACCACTTTACATTCTCTGTATTTATAACCACATTAAATGAGGCATTATATATATATATATATGTATGTATAATGTGTGTAAAAGCTGGAAGAAGACAATAAATTTTTTAAACAATCGCCAACCCAGCGCTTTTTTTCTGAACGCTTAATGAACTATTTCATTTTTTATATAAGGAAACGATAGTTAATCTAGTAATTAGTTTTTGCGACATAAACATTTCGTATATTCAGTTGTTTGACAGTTATGGAATCGATTTGATACTGGAGCTTTGATCATAAATGCATCCGTAATTACCTAGAAAATTTCCTGTATTTTCCAGTCACATCCAATTCTAACTCTAAAATACCTCAGTATATGTATCTTTTCTGGTTTTGATTAAGTCTGAATAGAAACCATCTTTGATATATTCAATCCGGTTCCGTTATAGTAAAAGCTACACTAACATGTGTGACAATAATGAATGGGCCTTCAGGTTAAAGGTAAACGCAAGATTATTTGTATGTTCACTAAAATAGATTGCTTTCTGAAAACTGACTTTCATATGGGTAGTGAAGAAGACTTGTGCCGCGTCAATTCGTCTCAAGCTGCAACAAGGTTGAGAGACGACAAGAACTTGTATGAAGTACAGTGCCCACAACTCTCCTCAGCGCCTACTAAGCAGCCGCATCTTTATTGTTTATGTTTAATAATCGTAATCATCTTAATGACATGAACTACAATGGGTTTTCGCTGACCATTTTAACTTTAGCCAACAAAAGGCGGAAATGCAAACTCTGCGTACCTGGCGCTACCTTACATAATCATACCCATCTTTAAAATCCAAGTAATTTGGATTTATGATACAACACTGCTTGGAATTAATTTGTTCACCGGTATACCACATTGTTGTTGCGGACGCACTGGCTATTAGATATTACACTATAATAAACCTAGACGCTAGACAGTGGATGTCGGGGGGTTTAACAACATTACTTTTAAAACATTGCTAAGAAAGTTTTTGTTTTATTATATTCAATAATTGTCGCACAATGCAATTTTTTAATTTAACTCTATTTTGAATGGTTTCATTTGTTTTGAAATTATTACTTGAATAACTGTTTAATTAATGAAAGGTTAAAGGGACAGATCATCCTGCATTATATTCGAATAATTTTTCAGTTAAATCTATTCATTGGATAAATCGGGAACCAGTATTTTCGTCTTCTTTATTTAGTTGCGAGTTTCGATTTCAACACACCCATGCTCCAACAAGTTGCATGATAAAGAAAACGAAGACTGGATTCGATGTTCATTCTCAAAAATTTATCAGGGCAATTTCTCCTGGACAGTTTTCCGCTTTTTATTCAAAGAATGAATGTTTAGGAAGTGCGATTATTAATAACGTTCAATAAAAATATAATGTATTTATTATTTTCAGTATTTTAATAAACTTGATCTGAATAGAAAATTGTTAAATGTTTTAGATCTTGAATCAATGAGAGTAGAAAAAGTTTTGATAGTGTTAGTGGCGAATCTGAGGAGCATGTAAGCGGTAATTTTATAAAAGTTTTGTACAAATTAGTTTTAACAAAGAAAAATATCAAATTCAGTAGAAAATCAACTTTTTTGGGCCATACTAACACAAGATTGATTAGTTTCTTGACTCCCAATTTTTAAAGTTGTAACATTTTAAAATTTAGGCACCCGTCAGAGTTGTCTAGATACGCCTCTGGGTAAATTTCAAGATTGAAAAACTGATTGCCTTGAAATTTCGTTTATAAAAGTTTTTGGTTACGGCGGGCAAGAGCGTGTATTATTTATTTTATTTCGTCAAAAGAAAGAAAATGTCAAAATTTTGCAATGGGCTAGTACGCTAAGTATATGGTTTTGCCATTGAGTTGGAACTTTTTTAAACCGCGACTACGTATGCCGGTTTAATTTTCAAACACTACGGCTTACTGGAATTCAATTTTTCAAAATCAAAACAAACATTAAACAAAATAGGAACATGAATTTGGCTGCTGTTGCACATTTACTTAGACCACCAACAAGTGTTAGATCTGAGCGTTTGTTCAGCGTGGTTAGTGACGTGAATAATGACCATTGCAGTAAGTACATTGCTTGCTACCAGATAAGGTTTATTTTTAAAAATATAATATTACGCTTATTGTAATATAAATTCTGTGGGCAATAAAAACCTGTAAATCATTTATTTGATAATGGTTTTACTTTTTTTAAATTACCACTAAACGATAGTTGCTAACGTGGACCGTTTATTTACAAATTACAACTTTACTCTTAGTTAAGTTATATACCCTTCATTGTTTATCGACTATGTCCTATTTTATATTTTCTCATTTTCATTATAAAAAAAGGCCAAAAACCATAAAATGCATATGCACAAATCCGGCTCCTGATTGGTGTTTGCAAATCCGGTTAAATTCGGCTGCGGCTGGTCTTGGAAAAGTCAAATCCGCTATAGCCCTAGCAAATGAATGTCTCTGTCAGTATTTGCTCGTGAGGACTTGGGGAACCTATCTATCGAGCTGCAATGGTAAGCCCAGGCCTTTTAAGTGGTCATAAACAGTTGAATTTGACAAATTTAATCTCGCACCGATCTTAAGTGTTGTTATTCGCCAGGTTTGCATAATGCCTTTATTGCATCTTTCAACCGGCCTTCCAGAACGTGGTGCAATTGCCGGATCGAAATTTTGAAAATTTTTGTCACTGCCGTATTGTCAATACATCTTTTCCACACAGATCAGTTTTTTTCTTTCTGGCTTGAACACAATTTTTACCTTTTCTATAGTAAAAAAGTAAAATATGACTAAAATGCTGATTATTGCTCTCCATATTACAAAGGGCAGACAAAAAACTACAGCCTAAAATCAATTGAACTTATTCACACACAAGCCTTGCTATATCAGCTGTCAAAACATATAATGACAATGCGATTTAAGTGTGAAAAAATACAATTAAATTTTCTCTGTCGGGAATAAACGAAATTACTTTCCGAACACTATATGGAATTGGAAAAAATTAATTAATTTTTTTTTAATTCTCCTGCGCATCCAGCTTCCAACGATGCAGTTGCAATAGCCCATATATAATTTAACATATACGGTTCTTCTTTTAGATAGATTTATAAAAATCACTGTATTTTCGGCATTTATTCAACTTAACAGCTGAGCTTCTTTATTTTTCGTACATGAACTTTGTTTTCATTTTCAAATTTTCTAAATGTTTAGTGTGACGCAGATTCAGGAGTTCCCAACGGCGAGTTTTTGCAATTTGCGGCTTGACGGTGAGGTGGTTTTCGCATTGAGATGAAACCCCATCTCTGTCATTACCCCCCGGCTGAAGAGCTCCAAACCTGAGACAATTACGTTTCGTGACCGACGTTTCTCATCTTTTTTCTCCTGCTTTTTTCACAAGGCCCTAGCATTGGGGATTCATTGAGTGACAACCTGCTGTTGACACTCGGACACGCTGGCGCCAAGTACTGTTCTTTCATGCAGTCAGTTACGGAGTCTAACCGCAGATTCAAAACTATTAACGCTAATCTGATTATGGTGGTTTCAAACAGTTTGCTCATTAGGCTTTCTGAATGAGCCAGTGTTTTGCGCAGTTTGCGCAGGATTTTTCAATTATATGTTTCAGGTTAAGGTCAGACTTCTCTGTTGTTTTTGCCAAATAATAAAATCCCAATAAAAAACCCATACAGGTCTCTAAGTGCGTATTCGCAGCAGTGTTTTCTCTATTGATGATCCCGCGGGATCTTTTATAGATTCAAGTAATAGATCCACCCATAGCTCAATAAGTGCAATACAATTTAAAAGATGTTTCTTTTTTACGTATTATTTATTATTGTAAATAAATTAATCTCAAGAATTTTTGAATAACCGAAAGACGTGCAATGAAGTTAGCAAACATTTTTATTTGAAATTAATTAACAGAAATAAAAAAAATCACAACTTCTAACTGCGATCATATTTAATTTAAGAATGTAAACGTTTTGTCCAAATATTCAAAATATTAAACTGGTGGTGAGGTTACAAAACTTAATTCAAACTGGTACAATCCATTCAAGATTAATGTTATAAGCCCAATGAAATCTTCTCTTGAATATCCAACAAAAAAATACAAAAACAAGCACAATACAATTATTGCAAAATCGTTTGCCAACATTTTGTTTGAATTGCACAAACTATCGTGTTTAGTAGATCTTGAAAAGAGAGATAATTCTTCACCAATGTCAGAACTGAAATTTTTAAAATGATCTAATGGAATTCAATTGATATATCATTAAGCTTCATTCATATATTCCAAAGACGAATGAGCTAGTTTAAAATTCTTCTGCATTACTCAGGCATCATCGACAAAAAACGTTATATACGAGAATACGCGTAATTACACTTTGCGTACGATAGACGGGAATCGTTTTTGCATTCGAACACAGTCAATGTAAGACGAGACATGGCACCTCTAACCATTAATACATCACGCAGCCCGAAAATATTGCTTATTAAAAAAATTTTTTAAACGATATCTGTTATTTTTATTATTATTATTTCATGTTGCATCGTTCAATCAACTCTTTGCTTCCATAGTATGTTTTGCAATACCTTTCCACAATATTTTCGTCTATATTAATAGATAATTAACAAATCAACTATGACCCTCGCTTAAGAATATATAGTTTAGTAACCTGCGTGTCCACATCGTGGGGAAGGGGTTGTAGACGAAGGATAAGCCAGCGGGGGAATGAAAATCCAAGGCTGTGTTCAATCAGAGAATAAGATTACTTGGATCCCAAATCCGAGTACGATAAACTTGGTAGCACCATGCATGCTGGTCACGTAGAGTCTGCATCCATTGCTGGCCAAAGTCGGAGTTCTCAGAAGATAGACTCTGCAGTTAGGTTTACCAATGAATAGACGCTCGTGTCCGGTACGATGGGATATCAGAGCCAAGTCAACCTTTACGAAATCAACTTTTTCCTCCCCGTCAATTGGTTTGGCGAAGCAATACGAATACAAGGCAATACGAAAACGTCAGTTTGTGTAGGCATATCAAAACAATTGAAAAAACAAGGATCGATTTCGGAAGAATAAATGATTTTACGGATACCACGTTATGGTGAAGCTAATAACATAAAAATAATGAATTAAAAAGTGAAGCTTTTTTTGAAGAGCAATCATAAATTTAACCAAAAAAAAACTGAAACATTAAGGACCATAGACTCCTATATAATGTAAATCTTGGATTCACAGCAGCTGAAACAATTTTTTCTCGATAGACCATTTGTTAATATTCGTTTAGATACCAATGGATTAAAAATATGGAAAATCTTTCTTTCTCTTTGCTTTTTTTACGCATGCTGAACTATAGCTATGTATAACAATTTTCAGCATGAAAAATTTTTGAGTCAATTTCCAAAACATTTCCAACTTGCCTAAATTAAAACATATATATGTTTTAACTGCAAATTGTTGAAAATAAGGCTAGAAATGAGACTGAAGTGAATCTATTTTGTTTTATAATTATATTACAATTAATTCATTAATTATTCTTTATGATATTCTTCTTTATCATATATAAAAATATAATAATAATTAATAAAAAGTTAATTGAAAAAATGATAAATGTTGAAATTCGCAATTTTAATGGATTCTTCATCCACAATAGTTCTGAATGTTATTGTTGACCCATACAAAAACTAGGTAAAAGCAAGTAAAAATCATTACAGAAAAAGGAGTCTATGAATTTCTTTACATTTTCTTATATTTTTGGAATAATATTATTTCAGCCTGAAACACAACGTACGATGAATAATTGATTTCAACAAGCATATTTCGGGCTCTCAAGAATTAGCGTTACAACAATATAGACAATTTACATAGGAGTCTATGAGTAGAACATACTGTATTTCAGTCTCTGCTTTTATGTCACACATAGCCATTTTATTTGTTTCATTAGCACACACGAAATTCTTTTCACTTGATGTTTCCATAAAACAATTCATTTTGTTGTTAAATTTTTGTTCCGTGATATCCAGCTGTTCAAATTTTGAAAAATAGTTAATAATGTTAAGGATATACTTTGTAATAGCAATTTTTATTCGAATACGAATTTCAAATACTTGAGACTATAAATAACGAACTTGACAAGATAAGTTCATATATGTTCAAAGTTTTCAATTACTTATTCTTAACTTTTTCTAAAGCATCATATAGTGACCGACTAACTTACTTTAATAATGACTAAAACTTTAATATCAATCAATCAATCAATCTTCGTTTTGCGGTTCCCCGAGGTAGGACGTTGTTTTCTTTGCCATCAACTTTTCGCGCCAAATTAGACTATCAGTTGTATCCATTTCATTTAAATTTAGAGCTTTCATGTTTTGCCCTATGTCATTTGTGAGTCCAGAGGGCCCTGCTGCCTTTCTATCCTTCATAGATTTCAGAGCTTCTGTAAGCTCCTCTACAGTGATGTCTGGAATCGTACCTTTGATGGGTGGAGCTTCAAAGTTAACATTGATGAGATTTGTTCCTTTCAACAAACGGTTGAAGTATTCTCTCCACTGTAGCTTAATCTCATATTGTTCAAGAACCCTCTCATTTTTGTCATTTTTGATACATGAGGCACCAATTATGTCTTTTTTCGTACGCTTTGCTTGTTTTGCTATACGATACTGAGATTTCAATTTGCATGGCTGATGGTCCACTTTTGTATGTTATGAGATGTTCCTACCTCTTTCTAAAATATGTGTTCAATAAACAAAACCCGTGACTTTCAGCAAACTCAAGTATGCGGTTCATTCCGTTCTCCATAGCCAAAACCGCCATGTACGTTGTCAAAACCATCTGTTTTCTCTCCAACGTGGCCACTGAGATCGCCTCCAATCAGGATTGTTTCAGATTTTGGTATTTTTGAGATGGTGTCAAAGAATGCAGCTTAGAAGTCATTTTTCATCTTTTCTGATTCGCCTGTCTGTGGAGCGTATGCAGAAAAAATAATCATTGTTTGCTTTTCTATGCGAAGCTTGATCCACGTGAGACGTGAGTTAATCCTTTCAATATCCAGTACTTCTTGGGCTAGCGGTTCTTTGACAAAAATTCCAACACCATTTTTGGTCGTCTTTTGACCATTCCGAAATAGTTTATATTTTTCTTTGTCATGTCAACATGACAGACACCTTTCGATTTCCATCGGGTTTAATAATGGCTATTTAAATATTAAAAGAATATTAAAAGATTGGTCTTGATGACAATGCATTTCGTGGTAGGTAAATTATTTTATTAACGATGATGATACTAAAAGTGAGCGGGTATTGAAATGGTTACCAATTCCCTCCCGATTTTGGGGTCATTACTGTTTTCCTCCCAAAATTCCAGTCTATGACAATGTTCCTTACAATTTCCATTTCTCTTATATTTGATCTCATTCCCACTTTTTCCTGTCCGTTTTTTTTCAATTTACATTTTCCCTATCCTCGAAACTTCAAATAAAAAAGTTAAATTATTTTTAAGCAATTTTACATTTTCATTAATCGATGTTTGCAATATCTCTGGTTTGGCTGATGATCAAGCATCGTTCAACGATGGATAATCCGAAGCATTCTTGTCATTATTGTTAAATAATATTTCTATGCTGTTCAACCGTAATAATAAATCTACTGTAAAAACAACATCGCTATATATTTATATATATATTTATATATAGCGATGTTGTTTTAGCTTTCTAATGTTAGCTTTGATCCGTTGACACTTCGTAAGCGATGGCAGCGTGCGAAAGCAGATTTTCTTTCAGTTTATCTAATGAGTGGATAAATCGTAAGGTAACATATATATAACATATATAAGGTATATATATTCAGAGTTTTCTATCTCCAAGATTAGTTTGTCAACATTTTTTTTTACCTGCTAGATATTTTATAAATGAAAAGAGCTCGTCTTCCTATAATCTCTGATGTAAATTTAAAATATTAAAATATTTGTAAAAAAATTCTGCTAATGTAATGCAAAGGACAAAACAATGTGTATATCGGTATTTAATGTTACGGTATTCAATAAAAATTTGGATGATTGAGTACGGAAAAATTAAATACAACATCAAAATACTTACTGATATATTTCTTGTTTAGCAATTGTCGATTTAGCTAAAAAAACCTTCGACAATGCAACAATCAAAGTTTCTTTTTATTTTTTTTTGAGCCTACACCATTTGAATATATTTTTCTTCCTTTTAATTCGTTATGCCTTCAAAAATTAGAGTCATACCCTATTGACCACTTATGAATTAAGAACAAAATTACAAAAACTTGTTTGAGCGACAATCTTTTACGTCATGGATTGATGAAGAAAGTCCACAGCGGTTGGGTTCAAACATCTAAGGTATTTCTAATATTATTCACAGACACAGTATGGAAGTTGAAAACGGTTTTACCCATCTTAGATCAAAATCTTCTGGTAACATACGAAATCGTCAGAAAGCAATAGTCATGGCCTAATAAAAATGCCAAAAAATTACTTTAAAATAGTACTGCAAAAGTTATGGAATCTGTGTATTAGGCATAATTTTTTTTACGGTAGCTAAATGTAATTAGTATATGTGAAAATACAAAGAAAATTATATAGCTACCGCTCTAGTTGATTCAGTCGATGTTAAAACATAGTACCAAACGTGGGAATTTTGGAATCCATCCGGTTGAAAATAATTTTTTCTTTTTCAGTGAATGGTGAAGATAGATTCAGGTATTCCAAATAAATCTGTTAAACGACTTGATGACTCGCCACCTAAACTCCGCTGCCAATCATTATAGTGCTACGCGGTTCAAAGAGGCGCGGAATTGGCAAGGGATGAAAAATCTTAAAAGTTTGTTTTAGGAGAAACGGAAAGAAAACGATGAATGAAAACTGCGAGGACACTAACATCAGTAAACCATGAAATATGCAACTCGCACATCGGTCATTTCAATCGAGCCGAAATGTTTATTTTTGAACACAACAACTTATATGCTTTTTAAAATACTTTTTTCCGGATTATCAATTAATTTGAATTAAATCTTCCTAGACAATTTTTAGCCTAAATTTTCTCAATACAACTGGAATTTTTGTCAAGTCGTGTTTTTATATATTGCCGAAAAACTGTGGGACACGATAAAACCGTTAATGTATTAAAGATAAATTGATTTTTTAAAATAATTAAAGTAAATATAATACCATAGTATTTTTCAACTCCTGACAAAGAGATTGAGAATTTACATAATATTCATTACAAACCAATATATCGTCGAATTTGTTTTCTGCATCATCTAGACGATTTTCGATTGATGTTGACTGTTCAGTGTACAATAGATGCTTTGCTTTTAATTGTCTTTAAAATGTTTTTAAAGTTAATAAAAAGTCAAAATTGAAAATGACATGTTAAAAAAATTTAATATTGAAAAATGTTGAAAAAACTAAGAAGTTGTACGAATTTGCAATAAATAATTAAAATACAAAAAAATTAACATAGTCATGAGCATATCCGTAGTGGGAATAACACTTAGAAAAAACAAGACAAAAGCCATAGGCTAAAAAAGGCTGGAGCCTAGAACAGCAAATTTGAGGGTGCGGCAATTTAGATGTTTAAAAAAAATAATGTTATAACCGCTGGAATGATCAAATTGCGCTATATTATTGTAGAAAAGGATCAACAAAACAGATGATCGTAAAAAAGTAAAAATAAACCTTTAGATCGTAAAAATCAGCCTGTATATATAGACCCTGCGTAGTCAGGTTTCTAGCTAGGTTCCAGAGAGAGATTTGAAGCGAGGTTTGAAACGAAGTCGTAAAAGTGAATTATGTAGTTGTGTTCATCTATCGGAAATCTTGATACTACGGAATAACGAACACTTGACGAAGGTAAAACACTGGTGTTGAAAATATGTTGAAGATCTTTGAAGTTATAACATCGGTGTTACGAGAGTCAAAGGTTACAATATTGGTGTCAGAAGTAAGATTTTTGATAGATCTTTTCTGCAAAATTTTCTGCAATAAAGAATGCATTAGATGAACTCAATACAAATAATCTGAGAAAGAAACTGCGACAACGAAAGGAAAGGAGCGAAGGCAGTTTTGATAAACTGTTTAAGGGACGTTCCTGAGGTAATGAAGTTTGATTTTTCGGATCCTGGAGAAGAACTGATAGCCGAAACAAAAAAAAGCCAAATTACGAGCAGCCATTGGAAATACATCACCCAATGAAAAGACAATCATAACAGCTATACAAGAAACAGCTGTACAAAATTCTGACATCATCTTACCAGCTTATTCATCTACGAACAATCGAGCAGATTGAAACAGATCGAGTTGTGATTGTGTTGTAAAAAAATTGCTAATATTGATTTTTGAGATATATGATGGTGATGATAGTTGATCATTATGATTGTATTGATTGTTGAGAATTACGATTTTGTCAATCATGAAGGAATACGAAGGTGTTGATTGTTAAAAAAATATGGTCTTATTTGTTAAAAATGGCAAAGAAAATTAAAAAATAATTTGTGGAGGAATCATATTTCAATTTTTGGTAAACGATGCCGACGGTGACAAATTTTAGCAATTAAAGCATATGACACTAAAATTAATCTTTTGAATCCACTATGTTGTTAATCTTGGTATGAAGGTTATCAAGAAAGAATCATTCAAACCATGGGCTGCACAAGTTATTGGTGTGGTATGCTCGAATTAAGTATTTTTATGCAAAAGAAGTGATTACATTTCTTTTGCATAAAATGCTACTAGATGAACCAAATTGTAAGTTATTAATCTATTCTCATTTATAAATACAGTCAGACCTTCTATGCAACGAAAATCTCTATTTAACGAACATTTTTTTGTCCCTTAAAATTTGGCATATAAAACTGTTTCTATAGAGCAAAAATAATTTTTCTATAACAAAAAAAATTATACTAGTTTGTCAAAATTATCAAAGTTAAAAAAAATATTGTGGCATTACTGTTATACGTATAATGCTTTTTGCTATAGACGTATGTAGGTACATACATATAATAATGTTATTTTTCATATTTTTTGCAATTATACTATGCATTATTACTTTTTGTTATAAAAATAAATGATTAAAAGGTTGCTTTTCATAAATATATGGCATATAAACACCTTTCAGGCAATATAAAACTTTTTTCCTAACAAACTCTGTATAATAAAATTTCTATATAGCGAATTTTTTGTGGAACCTTCAAATTCGTAATAAATATGTTCAAATTCGTCCGACTGTAATTATTTATCATCTTGAAGAAAACGTTTTTTTAACATAATTTCACGCAGAGGTGGACAAGGGTTGGGTTAACCCATTGGTTGGGCTGGGTCCAAATTTTCTGAAGTTGCGTGGGTTGGGTTGAATTAACATTTTCATTTTTTTTATTATTATAATAAATTTATTTTTGCAATTTTTTATTTTTAAACAACCATTTTATTTTTAGTGCATTTTGTATCACAGTTATATTGTTGTGTCTTTGGTCTATCGGTTTCTATTTCTTTCTGTGATTGTTCCGTTAGGTAAAAGTTAACTTCTTTCCGATTGAGAAAATTATTTTTATTTACAACTATGGCAAATTCAGAAGAAATTCAGCGTCATTTGAGAGGTTTGTGTGATTTTAATTTGCTAAGTTTGTGAAAGTAAAAATATATTAGACCAAGTTGCTTAACATTTATACATTTTTTTATGTCATTAGAGTACATCAGCACAGCAGAGTGTTGAAGATAATTACACTCAACCAGCCAAGTAAGCATGCTTTAATCCTTTTGCTGACCTACGGGATGACTGTAGCTCATCAATCACTGAAATTTCAACTGCTGAACCCTCAAGTCATGAAGAATTGGCTAGATATAAAGCTGTGAATTTCCAAGCCAACCACACCTCTTTGCTAGCATACTGACAAGACAACAGCAAAGACTACGCTTTTCTCAAAGGTTGCTGGACACGAGTGTTATCATCTTTGCCAGTTCAGCACAAACTGAAAAAGATTTGAGTTCAGTTGGTCTCACAGTCACAGATGCTCGATCAAGTCTGTATGCATGGAAAGATGAAAAACTGGAATTAATTAGATGGGGTTGTCGAGCTTCCATAATACATAAGATATTGATAAAGTCTAACCTTCACTCATTGTGGAACAGCGACTAGGAACCAATGAAAAATAAACTAAGTAAAATATTAGTAACATAAATTCAATTTTTGTGTTCTGTGTTTTAAATATTATTTGTAAAAGTTTGGCTGTTGGTTAAAATTGCGACTCGTGGGTTGTGGGTTGGGTTAAGATTTTGCATTTTCAGACGGGATGAGTTGAGTGAGTAATGGGTTGGGTCAGTAAAAGTAGACCCATGTTCACCTCTGATTTCACGCAATTTGGGACTTATAAATGTAAATCTCATACAATTATTCTTTTGATGAATTTAAATGCAAAATTTTAATTTAAATTGTCAAAATTGCACTTTTGACGAGAAGATAATTATTGAAACTAATAACAAACTTTTAGAAGTAAAAGCTTTAAGTATTTAATTTAAATCACTAATTTAATTACGAGTAAGAATATACATAAACTGCGAACAAATGTTTCGGATTAAATCTTCAATTAGAAAAAATAAGAACTTATTGGCTATGTGAAAGAAACCTTAAATTTCTGTGGGCTTCTTCAAATCTATTTTCAAGATCATCATTCTTTTGTTTTAACAACTGAAAAATTGCAATTTAAAGTTTTAAATAGTTGAAATAGTAAAAAAAGTAAATAATAAATCATTTATCACATCAAGTACAGTTTTTTTTTATAGTTTTTATATTTCATAATTAGCTCTACATTTCAAAATAAGCCTGCCATGTTTCGAAGCAAAAGCTCGTGCCGTATCGTATTATTGAATGCAGAATGTTTCATCGTTTCCTAATACTTATAACCTTGTATATTTTACAATTTTTTTTAACTTAAATTATTAATGATAAGGTATTTTCTATTAACTGAAAACCAGAATGTCGGAGTCGGATTAAAAATTTCCAACTCCGTGTAAAAATTCCTGATTCCGACTTCCTACATCAGACTCCCAGAAAAATTTTTCACTTTTGCATCATAATTTCACCTTATTATCATTTGTGAATAAAAAATATTTTAAAAACACTTAAAAGCAGTCAAGTTAATTGTTTTTTTTATAGTAATATTGCTTTACTTTTATGTTTTAATTAAAGCATACTGAAAAATATTTTCCAACTTTTGCATTGGTAATTTAACCTTATTATCACTACTAAATAAAAAAATATTTAAAAAACACTTGAATCAGTCAATGTAATTCTTTTTCATAGCAACAATTGCTTTAAATTTATGTTTTAAAGCATGCGGAAAAAATTGTGATTTTATTGACAATATTAGCATTCATTTTCAGTATTTAAGATGATTGCATATTGCTATACATTTTTATTTTCAAAAACACACGATTTTAAAACAATTTACAAAAGGGAAAAAATAAATTTTTTAAAAATTATTAACAAAAATTTTCCGGAGTCGAAGTAAAAATAAAAATCAGACAAAAACTCCGGCCCCACGAAAATTCCGATTTCAATTACGGCAAAAATCTTCGACAACGGCACTGCAAAGCCGAAGCATAAACCGGATCGTGTGTCTAGGGCTGATAATAAATGAACTGATTTTTAAATTAAATAAATTGTAAAATGTACTTTACTTTATTTAAAAATTTAATGGAATAGTACTCGGTTTAGACAAAATATTAGATTGAAATTAAGAAAACAATTTACGTAATAACAGTTTTTTATATAGTAAATGCGTGAAGACATAGGTATATACCAACGAAGAAATTTAAACACACAAAGAAACAATAGAACTTAGAGTTCCTTTGTTAAAAATACTATAAATACCAGATGAACTACATTTAACAATATCACAAACTCTATTACACTGGCAAAGGTTACCGAAAAAAGCTTTTATGTAAATGTATATATGAAAAATTCAATCTTAAGTAATTAAAAATTCTATTATTAATTATATGGAATATATATGTGTGAAAAATCAAAACATAACATTAAGCAGCTGATAATCTGATAATTCTATGCACACAAGCACTACGTAATAATTCAGAAAAATAATTATGAATGGCATCTTTTAAATTTTAACAATATATACTTTGAACAAATTACATTATTGTATGAATTCTACCAAATTGTTGGCATTAATTAATTTAAAGTTTGTCTTTACTTTGTCGATCTGCTTGTCTGTCTGTCTTTAAATTGGTAGAATCGGTAGAATTTAATTAAATACTGTATTATCTGTAGTGTTTTTACGACAATATATATATATATATATATATATATATATATATATAATAACTTTCGAAATTATTTTTACGTTAGTTAATATAAAAAATCCACTCTTAGCGATTGACTAAAATTTATTTGGTCAAAGATACTGCAATTACTAAGGAACACTTTTTTATGGTATATGTAACAATAATTAGAAATTTCTATATATGTATGATCCATATACAAGCACGAGGATAAAACAAATGAGGTTAATAAATCAAACAAATTTTATTTCTACAACTAATGTTATTTCACCTGGTTTCGTAAAGATAAGTCAGTTATTCTTTTTTCACATTGATCCAGTGCGCAACTTTTCTTTTGTAAAAAAATAGTCAATTTGATTTAAAATATGCACGGTCGTGTTATTTATTTTAGGAAGAAAATCAACAAGCCAAAAAATAACCGATGTATTTTAAATTTACCAGTGTCCCTGCAACTTTGAGATTTTACAATTCAAAGTGTAAACAGTTACAAGAATTAATATACTAATATAATGTTGCAATAATAAGAATATGTAAATCAAGAAAATCATTAAAAAGCAACACATACCATTACTAGATAATAACAAAAAAAGTTGTTTAAAATAAAAAATGTAATTTATTTACAAATAGGAATGGAAAACTTCATTAACCAATTTTATTTATATAAGGGAGCTTCACTACACGTATCAAAAAAAACTAAATACAACATTTTTGCCGATTTTGTTTGCATTTCGATTCTGAGTAATTTTAAGGAAACCCACATATATCAAATTTAGTGAAGATTAGATTGGATTTTTTAAAAATTTTATTTAAATTGATGCAATTTGATGCAAACCTAAAAAAATTTATTTAATTTGATGCAAACTTTTAAAAAATTGATGCAATTTTTATTGATTGATGATTTACAAATCATAACTGAAATAGCAATGTTTTCGAAATAGCAATGTTTTTGAAGCCATTAAGGTAAAGAAAGTTACATCGTTTCAATATCTAGAGGATGTTTAGGATTGTACTGGAACAGCTGATGCTGCTGTTCGAGCACGCATACGTGCAGCCTGGAATAAATGGCATCTACTCGCCTCTATATTGATGCGGCGTGACATCCCACTACCACTACGATCAAGACTTTATAAATCTGTGATACGTCCGGTGTTGTTTTATGGTGCAGAAACATGGCCAATGACAACTAAACTGGAACAACATTTTCACCGAACTGATATGAAAATGCTCCGATAGATGCAACGAATTAGTCTGAAAGACCACATCAAATCTACCGAAATCCTGCGTCGTGCTGGTTTAGATGATATAAAGGACGAATACCGGCAACACCGTCTGCGGCAGTTCGGTCATGTCAAACGAAGTGGAAACAGTGCCATAACTTCTCTTGCAAATGTTGAAGTACATGGCACACGTCCCAAAGGCAGTCCAAAAAAGTCCTGGTTGCAAACAATCGAGCAAGAGCTCTAAATTTAAATGAAATGGATACAACTGATAATCTAATTTGGCGCAAAAGTTGATGGCAAAGAAAACAACGTCCTACCTCGGGGGAACTTGGTCTCTGGACGCTAAACGATGATTGATTGAAATAACATTTAAAAAAGACTTCACAAGCAATAAAATGCTATTTAAGCGTCCCTAAAAGTTCTATAATGGTTGCAATCAAAATTTTCTGATTCATTATCACTAGATTCAATAAATTTAGATTACTAATATAACTACAGCCACTGTTTTCTATTTGAACTAATTTTTAGCTGTTCGGAATTTTTATTTGCTTTAATTTTAAGTTTTTGTTTTTCTGAATTTTAGCTAACTTTTTTAATTCATCAACATTAACGATGACTGGTGTTAACAAGGTATTGCACATTGGCCGAAGGCTTGTTAATGAGCTTTTGCACATTGACTTGTACATCATTCTGTGCTCATCGCTCTGTTTTTCAAGTAAATTTAACACGGCAACAAGTACTAAAAATTTTTCACGTAATTCGCACAACTTATCATTTATTTACATAAAACAATGGTGCACAAAAGAGGATCAAAAAAGATAAGTCTTGAATAACATGAGAAAAACCAAACACGAGCAAGGTAAAAAAACGCGGTAAAGAGGCAAAAACACGACAAAAACATGAGACTAGGGGTGAATGGTTATGTCGGGTAAGTGGTACACCGGAAGATATAAAACTTTTGAAACTGGGAAAATGAGATGTGTTACTCTGAATTTGAAATGCAATAAAACTGAAGAAAAACCTCAACATAGATAAATGACGAATTTAATATATTGTATACTAATGCGGATTGTTTAATTGATAAAAATTAAAATTAAAAATGTTAATAGCCAAAACCACAAAACAAGAATGATTATGATTGCTATAACAGAAGTAAAATTATACAAAATTTTTTACGAACTGACTACGTTAGCTAGCATTAAAGGATACAATCTGTTTAAAATTTTTAGGTTAGGCCAGTGTTTTTCAACCTTTTTTCTTCAGGGAACCCTTTGGTGTCGTCAGATTTCTGGCGGAACCTTTACCGGTACCGTTTATGTCCCTTCAAGGCGAGCAACCAATTTTTTCGATCTAAAAATGCTCGTACAGGTGAGTTGGACTGTTGGTGACCATTTTGATTTCAAAAAGTCAACACTCTGCTATAGAACATTGCATGCCTGCAAGTTTTTCCTCGTACATCTCAGAAAACTAGTCTACTAATCGTGCGGTTTGCCCACAAATACAGATCGCTGATTATGCTAGCTACCATTAATCAGCAGTGTTTCCAAGTTTTACAGTCTTTTTTACAAGTCCTATTTACAAGTCTTACAGTTAAGTCGAGTACGGGAAAAATGTTCAGTGTGAACACAGCAGCTGTATTCTTGGACCTGTTTTAGATAGACAGAAGCGAAATTCTTCTTCGACAGACAAAAGCCGTTCTCGTTTCTTGTGTTTGATGTTGTTCATGGCCGAAAATCCAAACTCGCACATGTATGATGTTGAAAAAAGCAACAGAAGTCGCAAAGCTTTCTCAGCAATTGCAGGGTACTCGTTTTCAACCAACAACCAAAACGTATCCATGTTGAGTTTTGCATGTTTGAGTTTAAGCGTTCTGAAATGCTAGCCAGCTCCTTTCTTTTTCAAAGTAAACTGTCCTTTGCACGATTAAAGTTCAATAAATGGATTTTAAACCCAACCATACTGGTCAACAGAAATTGATGGGAAGTATTTGCTAAGACTGCTGCATAGACTTTCCAAGTGGTTGACGAACAACGGCAGAACGTCTTGGTGGTTGGTGAGTTTAACGTTGGGAAACATTTCCAAATTCCCAGCCGCTGCGCGCTACTTCCACAGCAACAGTTTTTCCTAAAAAGCGTTTATTTTGTCACTTGAAGTCAAGATGTTTTCATTTCTGCCTTGCAAACCATTGTTCAGAATGTTGAGTTCTTGAATTAGATCAGCCACTTTAGAAAATTAGCTCTCGTTGCTCAAAGCGTTTTCAATCTCTTTCAGGTTTTCACCGGAATAGAACGCCAAGAGTTCCTCTCCGCTCGTGAAATCGAGATAGTACTTTTCCAAGAGACAGCCATCGTACGTCTGTATGTTGGATGAGTGTGATATGGTCTGCTTCTATGATTTAACAAAATATTGCAAACAAGCACACGGATGCATCCAAAACCACAACGACATCCTACAGGCATACACAATAAACAAACCACTACACAGCATATTATTCAAACACATAAATATACATACAGACATACGCACCCATACTCGCACATTCAACATCTTGATAAGAATCGTCGATAACCATTAACAAACACAGGGTAATAATCTCCATTCATCGAGAGCCATCGAGACAAAACAACAAGACAACTACCAATCGACAGAATAGGGCAAACACCAACCATCCAGTACCAATTATTTCAACATCAACTCGGAAGCATGATGATAAACTCAATCGTAGTAAGGCTGTACTATATTTTTATTCGTTCACACACTTATGAGGTCTCATCTTCATGTAATTACCTATTTTCACTACCTTGTGCAGCACTGATTTTAAATCTTTTCCCACTGTTTTAGCAACCAGTGTTTTTTTGTGAATGAAGCAGTGGGTGGCCACGATATCTGGATTCGTGTGGACACAAAACACAAAACCTTTGACGTTTCTCGTCATTGCAGGAGCACCATCCGTACAAATGCCGACGCAGTTTTTCTATGACAAATCACCGGACTGCAAATATGCACTGATAACGTCATATACATATTGTCCTCTCGTATTTTCTGACAACTCTTTACAGAAAAAGAAGCTTTACCATTGACATCGGTGCTCCCATCCACCTGAAGTGCAAACAATCCAACCTATATTAGTAAGACCACTTCACTACCAAGACGACTTACGTACTATAAATTTAATGGTGGACCTTCAAAAACACTCAAAATTAAATTACAAAATTAACACACAATAAAAAAATTACACGCGAGTAGGGATGAGCCAAAATCATCAACTGAGCAACAAACCAATGAATATACAAGATAATCAAGTATCAATAAAATAACAAATAAAATCTAACTACTTTCTATGTAACTAATTAGAAAAACTTTGTAACTTCCATGGAGTTCAACAAGTTGTTTATATATAATTTATAATATAAATATATATACTTAAAAATCAGTAATTACCAATCTTCTATCCACAATATCTACAGGGAATATGATTACCATAATTATTGCATATATATATATATATATATATATATATATATATATTGTTAAATTTATTTGCCCATTTTGCATTTATCAACTTTTTTATTATGGACTCAACACAGCGTAGTTTTTGACATTCATATTGTGAAATTGTGACATATTAGAAGCTGACAACGTTGTTTCGGCTAAGTAGCCATCATCGGAGCCTAAAACCAATGAAATATAAGAAATTTAATTAAAATAAATGAGAATTAAACGAATTATGTAAATTATTTAGCGGACATGATAGATAGGATATTAAAAATAAAATTGGAATTGAAAGTGAAGTTAAAAGTTACAACCTTGCGAAGGATGTAACCTAAAAGATAAATTTAATACTAAAACACGAAATTAAATAAAAGTTGAGTCCTCAATAATATGTATATAGTGTATATAATATAATACAATAGTGTATATAATATAATACAATATTATATTATATATACTATATATATAGGCATTCATTCACATTTAATCGTTCATCAATAATAACCAATTACCACCAATTCTAGTGCATATATATATACACTAATGTTGAGTCCATAATAAAAAAGTTGATAAATGCAAAATGGGCTAATAAATTTAACAATATATATATATATATATATATATATATATATATTTATATATATATATATATACATATACATACATACATATACATACTCCCATTTAATCGTTCATCAATAATAATCAATTACTGCCAAATACTAGTAAATATATATAGGCATTCATTCGCATTTAATCGTTCATCAATAATAACCAATTACCACCAATACTAGTGCATATATATATATACACTATTCTAGGCCCAGACTCACATACCTCCTACCTTCACAAACCTTTGAACGGCTCCCAGGGCGGGCAGCGCAAGTATTTTTTGTCTCCTTTTTTTTGTGTGCTTCAGCACCGTTCACTAGCGGGCCCCCCAGAGCACATTTCCGTTATACCCTCAAGTGGGTTTGTGTTACTTCCTCTCGGCCAGCGCTTATTGCAGCCATCCTTTGTTGTCCCATCGTTGCACTTCACTTCAGTTATAGTTGTCGTTGGTAGTAGTTTTTTTTTGTATTCCTATGGCTTCTAGCCAGAGCTCCTCTTCTGGTTCCAGCACTCTCACTCGTTGTCACGTATGTTCCAAACATTTTCGTTTGCGTCCCGATGGCGCATTGGTTAGGCATGGAGGAAAGGTTAAAGGTTCAGAATGTTCCGGTTCCCTGGCGAAGCCCAGGACCGGGTCAAAACGCGCGTCATTGGGAAACGTTTCTGGTTGCGCCCCTGTCGCCAATGCCGTCGGCAAAGTCTCGATCAGCAGTGCTGCACCGCAACAGGTTTCTAAAATCGACATGGCAGAGAAGTTTTTCAGAAAATCTGCTAGTTTTTGTTTAATGGATCACATTCCCAAACATTCAAGAACAAAATTTGGTCAGACGCTGGCTAAAGTGGTAAAGGAAATTATTGATAAACCCTCTATTTCAATCAGTTGGTTCAAATTGCTCTTTTTACCAGCAATGATCTTGAGGAAAAGTCACCGCGGCGGCAGACGTCATAATCCAACTGGACTAATCAATCAGGGGATTGACTATTTTAGCGGACAATCCGTCGAGAAGATGGCTGACTGCTTAGAATTCGTTAATAAATTAGAAAATAAGAAATCAGCCGAATCTAAGTTGATATCTTTGGTAAAGTCTAAGATCGAAAAAGAAAACATAAAAAATACAATGCAGCTTCTGTCATCAACGGACACCGTGGCACCTGATACTGAAGAGACTATACGTTCTCTAAAGTCTAAACATCCCACCGCACCCAACAACAAACAGCAAAGTTCCTCCAAGGAAAGTTCAAGCTTGTGCGTTACATCTCAACAAGTACTGGTTTGTTTAAAAACTTTCCCAAAGGGAACATCAGGTGGCAGTGACGGCCTTACGCCGAAGCATCTGAAAGACCTCACATCTTCAAAAACAGATTCGATTGATCTCATCAACTCAATCACTGTATTTATCAACATGATCTTAAATGGTGATTGTCCACCTGATGTGGCCCCATACTTTTTTGGCGGAAGGCTGGTGGCCCTATCGAAAAAATGCGGCGGGATCAGACCCATAGCAGTCGGGTGTGTGTGGAGGCGCTTGGCCGTAAAATGCGCCATGTTAGCCGTCAAAGACAGAGTGGTTCCAATTTTACAGCCGCAACAGGTGGGTGTCGGCGTCAGTGGTGGGGCAGAGGGAGCGGTACATGCAGTGAGACGATTTTTGGATGGCATGCGTGATGGCCAGTGTTTGCTCAAATTGGATTTTTCCAACGCTTTTAATACTCTAAGACGCGACCATATGTTGAACTGCGCCAAATCAATTCTGCCGGAGATTTTCAATTTTTGTTATTCGGCTTATGACTCGCCTTCTTTCCTGTCTTTCGGCGACACTAGGATCCTGTCGGCTGAGGGTGTTCAGCAGGGAGATCCTCTGGGTCCCCTTCTTTTGGCACTCTCTGTTGACCCACTAATTAAAACACTAAAATCCAAATTTTTTGTTGCCTACCTAGACGACATTTCATTGGGAGGTGATGTCGAGTCCGTTTTGAACGACCTTAATACTATTATAAATTCAGAAAATAACATAGGTTTAAAACTTAATTTTGAAAAATGCGAGTTGTATATGAACAAACCTATTACACTTAACATTAAATATCCAATTAAAATCCTTGAAAAAAACGAGATTGATTTTCTAGGCTCAATAATTTTTCCTGGTGAAAGCCAAAACATATTGAACAATTTGAAAATTTTAAACTTATCACCCAAAGGCTAAATATCATCAATAAACATGATGCAATGGTCCTTCTATTACAAGCTGCTTTTTTGCCTCGTCTTGTTTATTTTTTGAGAACATCCCCTCTGTTGGATGTTTCGATCCTCAATAGTTTTGACGATCACCTCCGTGACGCATTGCAGTCCATCTTCAACATAAAACTCGATCAAAAAAATTGGTTGCAGGGGACGCTGCCTATATGTGTTGGTGGCCTGGGTTTGGGTTTCGCGGCTGAGCTGGCACCTTCTGCCTTTTTGGCTTCTGCTGCTGCCACGGTGGCCCTCCAGGATCTGATGTTGCCGAGGGATGGGATTTATGTTGATAACTTCAGAATGCAAGTGTACGACATGTGGCGCGCCACCAACGGAGATGTGGTTGCGCTCGAAAACCCCTCGCAAAAACACTGGATCGCCCCCTGTCTTAATAGATCAGTTGATCGATGGCTGCAACTGAATGGCTCTACTTTTGACAAGGCTAGAATTATGGCTGTCAAAAGTGAGTTGGGCTCCGCCTGGTTGAGAGCGCTACCCAACACCTTCTGCGGCACTAGATTGGATGACTCCTGTGTTCGCGTGAGCCTTGGTTTGAGACTCGGAGCCCAGATCGTCACCGAATACGAATGCGCATGTGGGGCAAGGGTTAATGAACTTGGATACCATAGCCTTTCTTGTAGTCTAGGTCCTGGAAGACAAGCCAGTCATACGGCTGTCAACGAATACCTGGTAAGATGTTTTCAAAAGGCTGGTATCCCGGTTATAAAAGAACCCATGGGTTTGATAGAGGAAGGAGCCTTTAGGCCTGATGGTTACACTATCACCCCATGGGCTCAGGGACGGTCCCTGGCTTGGGACGTTACTTTACCCCACACTATGGCTGACCGATATATCGGCTACACTTCAGTGGAGGTGGGCACTGCTGCCCTTAAAGCGTCCGATTTCAAAAATGAAAAATACGTTTCATTGAACAATTTAAGCAAAATATTTCAACCCATTTGCATTGAAACGTTCGGACCAACAGATAAGCACACATCATTATTTATTAACGAATTAACAAGAAAAATAGTTAATATAACGGGTGATCCTAACGAAGGCAATTATTTAAAACAAACTCTTTCACTTTTATTACAAAAATTTAATTCCTTTTGCATTCTGGATGGAGCTGCTAGATACCTGACTGTGCGAGACCAGGGACATAATAAAAGTTGAACTCGGAAACGATTGCTTGCCTAACCATGGCTTGTTCATCAAAACGAGTTCATACATATACATATATACAAATTTTGTTGAATATGTTTGCCCATTTTGCATTTATTAATTTGTTTGAAATTGAGTCAACACGACTTAAATTTAATAAGTTATAATAGTTATAATATAATATTGTAACATGCTATTGTTACCTCTATTCTATTTCTACAGGGTGACATTATTTTATTCATTTATAATTATACCTAATATTTCACAATAGCACGTTACCATATTATATTATAACTTATCAAATTTAAAATTATCTTTCATTGTTTTATTGAAAATTTTTACAATTCACTAATTTTAGGCTCTGATGATGGTTACCTAGTCGAAACAACGTTGTTAGCCACGACATGACACAAGTTTTTAATAAATATGAATTGCAACAATTACATCGTGTTGACTCAATTTCAAAGAAATTAATAAATGCAAAATGGGCAAACATATTCAACGTTCCTAATTATATATATATATATATATATATATATATATATATATTAACTATGGACCTGTGGATATATATGGATATAACTAATATATATATATATATATATATATATATATATATATATATATATATATATATATATTGATGAAAATTACAGCATGTTCAGCGTTAGTTTACTTCCAATTTAACTTATCGATTTTTCATTTAATTAATTAATTTTCATTCAATAAAAATGAGATGAAAATTGTATTATGTATAAATCTTTAGCTCAAACAAATGATATTAAATGACAGTATTAAATTTAAAAATTAACTATTTAAAAAAGCGATAACAAAAGTTGAAACTTGTTACATTTAACTAACTTCTAAATAAAGCGATTTATAAAGTTCAATGTTGTTTATAAAGGTTGCAACGCGTTCCTGAAGTGAAATAATAAATAAAAATAAATTATTAAACTTTGTATATTAACTAATTTGATGAAACGAATATTATTGTCACATGAAATACAATTCAAATAAAAAAATGAGAATACAGGAGATTTATAATCGACCACACATTATTACAAACTCAGACAAATATCACAAAAAATACCTACAAAGACAATAACGAAGATTAACTATGCATACAAAAAGAGGTGCAATAAAAAATCCGGATGAGCGGCGTGATGGCTCAATGGTTGAAGGCGCCAGGTTTTGCTGCTGCAGAGACTGGGTTCGAAGACAAAGAGGTCCCCGCCTATTATATGCAATGTGCATGATGTGCGTATTCATATACGCTGTGTGTGTTTGTCATTGAAAACTCTGAAGCAAGCGCAAAAAAGAGAGTAATCTTTAATCACGAAATAGCAATTAGTAGAGAGATGCTCAACAATAACACAAAGATCAATCAATCTTCGTTTAGCGTCCAGAGACCCGGTTTCCCGAGATAAAACGTTGTTTTCTTTGCCATCAACTTTTTGCGCCAAATTAGACGATCAGTTTATTCATTTCAATTAAATTTAGAGCTTTCATGTCTTGCTCAATTGTTTGCGACCAGGACTTCTTTGGACGGCCTTTGGAACGTGTGCCAGGTACTTCAAAAACAATAACACAAAGATACTGTATCGCAACAAAAATACTTTCCAACATAAAATTGCAATTAGATTAGTTGATTGAAAATTTTTTCTGTCTAAGTCTAAGATAAAAAAGTAGCAAAAACTTTGTTTTTTATATAAACAAGTTAAAAGACGATGATAAACATACGATATGAATTATTGAAAAATTGAAACAAAATTAGATAAAAGCTGAAAATTCAGCTTGACAACTCAACAATTGTATCTCCAACAGTCTGAACCATAATTATATATATATATATTTATATATATATATTATATATATATGCAAATTTAATTATTTATATATATATTAGAGTGCATCAAACGCCCTTAAATATTTTTAACTTTTTATTTATATTTTGGCTATATGATTTTCATGTTCCATTTTATGAAATAAGACAAGCTAAAAAATTAGAATTTTTGGTTAATATTTAAGGGGTCCACATTCAACGTGAATATTTATAGATTTTATATTGTAACGATATCAATGTAAATATTTAAGTTATATTGTCCATCAATTTAAAAGTAAACAGCATATAAGAAGAAGAAAGTGTCATTTATAGCAGAAAATACGCAAATGTAAAAAGTTTGAGAACATCATTACAGTTTCACAGTATATTCACACATTTTAATAATCGTTATTATTGACTTTCGTTAATGATCGCTTTCTCTCTCTTAGATTAGGAGTTTCTTTCTTGTGGCTCTCAACAACTTGATGGATGTTCTGGTAATGCTCTTTTAACTTGGCTGCTTCTATAAAATCAGCACTGCACTCAGCACTGTCATTGAGAACATGTAGACAGGTTTTCTTCTTTGATATCAGGAACGCTGGGTGGCCTGGTCATTTTTCTATGTCATCGTTTAATAAATCCATGTCCATTTCTAAAAGCTGGACAATAAACCATGAATCCCCAGTAACCGAATTGCCAAGTCTTGTTCTTTCAATTATAGCATCAAGAAACTTTGATTTACCAAATCCTGTCCCGTAAAGATCTTGGGGAAGCTTCAAATCATCAGGTGGTTTTACTGCTAGCAACTTCTCTACAAAGTACTGCATTTCAGGTTTAGGAGTACCATCACTAAAAATAGCCAGTGTAACCATTTCTGGACACAAATACCACAAGTGACGTTTCAGAGCTTTTATAGCACTGCCAGCTATATCAGAACTGATAGCTGTGTACTTGAGAAGATTTTGATATAAACTCAAATCTACAGCAGTTCCACAAGTCATCCACCAGTTGCATATATTAAGCGCTCAAAGTCAATGAAACTGCGCAATTTAAACTGCTAGGAAACAGTAATGATTGGTCCTGGATGTTTACAACTTTTTCAGTGCTTCTACTGCCAGGTGGGAAGTTCTCCAAAACCACACACAGCAGAAATCTAGTTCAATGATGGTGCCACACCGCTTGTCTGTTCCTGGCTGATATGCTGGAACTCCAAGTAGTTTGTTGCTGGTATTATACCCGACAGATACAACAAGTCGTTCAGCTAAATCATGTGCTGTCTGGTTCACCATTAGCTTTGAATCCAAGTGTAAGGAAGCATATCTTGGTGGAACCCAAAACAAGATATGCATAGACAAGATATGCATATTATTTTTCACAAGTAAATATAAAATTAAGAACTGTATAAGAGTTAAGAACTATATAAGAATTAAGAACTATGTATAAATATATTATATGAATAAAAGCAGTATTTTAAACTGACTCATATGCGGCATTGCGCATAATGTTTTTGTGTAATTTTTTCATAACTTTGAGGTCCTTGTGGACCCATTAGAAATAAAAATATTTCAAAAATATTTCACACAGTAACTACTTTCTACAAAAGGCATATGCTAAGTTACCAGCCGTAACAATTTTTTTCATGAGGGCGTTTGATGCACCCCAATATATATATATATATATTGGGCCAATAACATATATATATATGTATGTTGGCCCATGTATATATATATATATATATTTATATATATATATATACATGGGCCAATAACCATGTTAATATAGACATAAAAAACGACATAAATATTTCTCTTCAACGATTTTCATATTTTTAATTGCAACAAATTAAACAAAAAACTCGACGGAAATTTGAAAAACTTATGAATAATGGAGGAGTATGTAGAATTGCTAATTTTGATCGTTTCATAAATCTCAGTAATCACGTTTTAACAGAAAAAGAATTTTTAAATCTAGGCATCAACTGTCATTTTTATAAAAAAACCTAATAAAATAGATAAGATAATCGAAATAGAAAAATTAATGAACGATAATGTTGAATATGAAGAGAAAAATTTAATTACCGTCAATCCTTCGATTGGTATTCAGTTACAAGCTGAATCCAAGAAAGAGACAATTTTAATAGCAAATTAATTACAGAGGAAATAAGAAATGCCGCCAAACAGTTGAAACAAAACCAAAATATTGTTATCCGTCATGCCGATAAAGCGTCAATGTATGTCATTCTAAATAAAGATGATTATTTTGGAAAAGTGAACACAATATTAAACGACACCACTAAATTTAAAATAATAAAAACTGATCCTACAACATCACTAAAAGTCAAACTCAACAAAATCATCCACAAAATCAACAGACATTGTCCCAATGATAAAATTCCTCCTTTTTTTGGCGAATTCCAACCTGGTTACCTTTATGGTAATGTGAAAACTCATAAAACTGACAATCCATTGAGACCTATCATTAGTAAGATTCCTACCGTAACATATCCAATAGCCAAAATACTATGTAAACTCTTGACTCCTTATGTTCCCAACGATTACAACTTGATATCTTCACGCGAATTCATCGAAATTTTAAATACTAATTCATCAGCCAAATACATTGCATCACTTGATGTAGAATCCTTATTTACAAACGTACCGGTGAAAGACACAATTGACATCATTACCAATACAGTTTACAATTCAAATATATCCCCCATCAACATTCCCAAATCTCATCTCAAATCGCTTTTGGAAATTTTTACAACCGAGGCACCCTTCATAAGTCCAACAGGAAAAATGTATAAACAAATTGATGGTATAGCCATGGGTTCGCCACTAGGAGTACTTTTCGCTAATTTTTATTTAGGACATTTAGAAAACAAGACGTTTGAACAACATCAACATTTAAAACCACACATTTACACTCGATATGTTGATGATATTTTTGTCGCATATGATGAACAAGACATGATCAATGAACTCGTAACCACGTTTAATCATTCAAAAGTTAAATTCACAATTGAATTAGAAAAAGAAAAATCATTACCGTTTCTGGATGTGCTCGTTAAACATGATGAACGTAATTTCAACATCTCAGTTTATGTGAAAGAAACAAACAAAGGAATTTGTCTTGATGGAAAAAGTGAATGTACGAAAGAATATAAACTGAAAACTAACAAAGCCTTCGTAAACCGAGCAATAACACACTCAACTACTCAAAATGACATCAATACAGAATTGAATCGCATTAAAAAATTGCTTGTTAATAATGGTTATCAAATATCAGATATTAACAATGTAACTAAATTTAAATTAAGAAATATCAGTAACAACAATATTAATAACTACAACAGAGTTACCAGTAACAATATTATCGCCAACAACAATAATCTTTCTATTGATAATGATAACTCCATTGCCAACTATAACATCATTAATAACAACAACAATAACAGTAATCTTAATAATGATAACGATAACAACAACAATAATTTCAACAATAATCCCTATAACAATATTATTCATAATACTAATAATTATAACGAAAGCATTGTCAACAAAAACAACGATGAAGTCAATAATAACAACAATAATCCAGATACTAATCACAACATCATAGTCAACAACTTTAGTAACCAAAACAACACCTACTACAATAACGCCAAAAATAATAACAATAACAATACTACCAACAACAATAATAATAATGATGAAGATATTATTCTATATTACCGCAACATCATGTCCACTTCATATAAAACAGATGAAAACATTTTAAGAAAACTTATTTACAACAATATCAAACCCGTCAATCCCAATTGCAAAGTTAAGTTAAGAATATATTATAAAAACGCTAAAACATCACACATGATAATCAAAAATAACTGTCAACCCAACAACAATTCCATCATGAAAAATAGTCATCTTATATATGAATTTTCCTGTCCCATTGGTAACTGTGTGCACCAAACTTCTGCATATATAGGAATGACCACCACTCAACTTTCTCGTCGACTTACCATGGACAAAAGAGAGGGTGCTATCAAATCTCATATAGAAACAACACATAATACAACATTAACACGTTCAATTCTCGACAATAACACAAATGTTCTTTACAAAAACTCCGATTCTTAAAGATAGCCGAAGCCATATTAATAGAAATAAAAAATCCAAAATTAAATGTTCAGCTACAGAGTATAACAGTACTTCCGACTCACAAATACATAATATAACAGTACTTCCGACTCACAAACAGTTATCTAAACTAATTAATAATTCTCTCACCGCCAATAACAACAATAACAACCACGTTACCACCACCAACAACCAAGTTACTACCAACAACAATGTTAACCATGTTAGAGATGCCAACGACCATGACAACAACACCAACAATAATGTTAATAATTGCGGTAACAACACCAATACTAATGTTAACAACAACAACATCATCATTGTCAATAACAACAATAACAGCAGCAGCAACAACAATAGTAGTAATAATAATAATGATAATAACAATGACAATGATAATAATATAAACTTGGAAACATGAATATTGTAGTATGATTTTTGTTTTTTAGTTTGTTGATTTACTTTATGGTCGTTTTTTTCAGCAATTTTTAAAATTTTAATTTATTTTGTTTAATTCAAATATATATCTATGTAAATAATTTAAAGTTAATTTTATCAATATGTTAAACATATAGTATATAATAATTAATAATAATATTTTCAAAAATGTTTCACGCTTAAAATTAAGTTATACTGTATGACGTCTTTTGTTTATAAACGGTAATTTTCGTTATTATTTAAAAATATTTTGCACTGACGATGATATATTTTATATCGAAAAAGCTTTTTGCAATTATTTATATTAATAAACATGAACAATAATAATTTTAGTTTTTTACTTAATAAATTAAAAAATTATAATAAAATTTTAATTAGAAAACTTTAAAAAATTAATGTATAAACATAATAATTGTATTAACGCGGTTGATTTTCTTGAAAACTGTATCGTATATGCTCTAAATCCTAATATATATATATATATATATATATGTATATATATATATATATATGTATATATATATATATATATATATATATATATTAGGAAGAAGACCAAGTTCTATACAGTTGTTCAAAAAATCCACCGACGATTCAGCATTAACAAGTTTTATGGTTGATTTTCTAATATTTTGAACTAGTTCTTTACAATTAAGTCTATTCAAAATGTTGAAATCCATTTTATAATCGTTTATGATTTTAATTGTTAAAATTAATCAAGCAAGATCCAATTTTTATAATCGTTTATTTTTTATATTATTATTAAAATTATGCATATAGATCTATTTCGACGTAAAGTCATCATCAGTGCAATATATTTTAAATAAATTCTATTAATAGTTAATTAGTTGTATTTTTTAATATATTAAAATAAAATAAAAGTAACGAAATAAAAACGCAAAGGTTCATTGAAATTAGTAAACAAAATATTTGAAATTATACGATTGTTCATGCTACGTGGCCGTTGTCAAGATGGCAACCAACAATGTCACAAATTTGAAGCACGAAATTAATTAGAATATCGTTTCTATTATTATTATTATTATTATTATTAATTATTATTATTATTATTATTGTTATTATCATTATCGTTATCATTATTATTATTATTATTATCATCATCATCATCATTACCATTATTATTATTGTTGTTGTAGTTGTTGTTCTTTTTATTGTTGCTGTTGTTGTTGCTATCGTTGTTTGTATTGTTGTTGTCGTCGTCATCATTGTTATTAAAAGTATTATTATTATTATTATTATTATCGATGACGTTAAAATTATTGGCAACAATGTTGACGTTGTTAATTAATCTATGCGTAGGGAGAGTTGTTTTAATTTGTTGTTGGTTGTTCAATGTAGGTTTTTGCATTTCTATTAGAATGGCTTCAGCGAGTTTAAGATTTTGATATTGTTGGGTACTATAG